GCCTCCGCGTGAAGTGTGTTTTTCGACTTTGTAACACGGCGCGATGGAGCGTTCGCTTGAACAGCGATACGCCATCAAGTTTTGCGTGCGACTTGGAAAGAATGCAACCGAAACATTCCAGATGCTTCAAGAGGCCTTCAAGGACGATTACATTTCAAGGTCACAGTCCGGGAGGTGGCACAAGGCGTTCAAGGAGGGCCGGGAGGAGGTCGCCGACGAACCCCGTTCTGGACGGTCCCAACAACGGTCCCAACAACGGTCAGAACCGACGAAAACGTGAATCATGTGTGCGAAGTTTTGCGTTCCGACCGTCGATTGAGTATCCAGTACATCGCTGACACCCTAAACATGTCCACATTTGCGGTACATGGGATAGTGACGGAGAATCTGCAAATGCGCAAGGTCTGCGCGAAGCTTGTGCCGAAAGTGTTGACGGAAGACCAGAAAGAACTTCGAGTTTCGCGCTGTCAAGAATTGTTGGATTTGATTCAAAATGAGCCGGACTTTTTTGTTTCCAGCTACGACTTTTTTTGTTTCCCCGTCTGAAGAGAGAGCTGAAAGGAAAGCATTGGGAGTCCGTGGAAAACATCCAAAAGCATGTTACAACGTTCCTAAGAGACATGTCCGTCGAGGAGTTTCAGCGTGCCTTCCAGACGTGGCAGACACGTCTCCGCAAGTGTATTGATTCAGGGGGAGAGTATTTTGAAGAATTTTGAGCATTTGTACCGCTACAATCAATAAATCTATTTTTCCCAGAAAATGCGCATTACTTTTATAATGGACCCTGTATATATGTTTATAAGTACATACGTTTATACGTACATACGTTTATACGTACATACGTACATACGTTCTACATGCGTACATACATATGTTTATACGTATATACGTTCATATATACATACATACGTACATATGTTCATAGATATATGTATTACAAAGGAAAGGGAAAAAATACATAATAAATACGTTAACGTATTTTTATTTAAAAATTCTTTTGCAATCACCAGTTATATATTTTAAATATATTTTGTAACGCGCAGTTGTTCTTAATATGTTCTGCATCGCTTAGTATTAATAATATCTAGATTAGATAAAGATTCCATGTCTTCATAAACTGTATCTCGATGTGC